CGCGGATGGCGGAGCAGGCGCGCTGCCAACGTTGTGATCTGCTGCCTGCTGCAAAATGGAGGCAGGAAGGGATCCATTTTCATCAAGGAGATGACAGGGCCTCCGTCTTCCTGACCATCTGGAGAGAGGCACCTCCAGCGCGCACACAGCGCGCTCGGGAGGGAATAAACTGCGCCGCGAATGCGAAATAATTCCCCTTATCAGCCTTGCTTTGAGGGGATTTTTAAAAATATATATATATGTGTGTGTATATATACTTTATATATATATTTTTGGTTGGTTTTGTGGTGAAAACGCTGTCCTGCTTGAAGTAAGCTCGGTGTTTTCGAAAGGGCAGAAAGCTGAGGGGGGTTTTATTGGTACAGAAATGGAAGTAAATGAGTGTTTTGGCACAGCCCTGGAGTTGATTGCTCAGACAAATACAACAAGCCCTAAGAAAGGAGGAGTTTTTTTCCCCCGATGCGCCGTGTTGGTGGTCTAGCGGAGATCCAGGTTTTTAATAGCCCTTTCGAGCCGCTCTGGAGAGAGCTCGGTCCATGGGAATTTAATATCCCTGGATGTGGTTGTCATTTGCAGTGCTCTCGATAATGCTGTTTTTCTACGTCTCCGTGTTTCGGGGTTGGGAAATAAAGCGTTCGGCTTCCCTTGCAGCGCTCCCAGATTCGTCGCTAAGTGGGTACAGCCCGCACGCTTTCACCGGAGGAAAATCAGCATTGTTTCGAGTTCCTGTTTATTTGAAGCTCCGCAATGCTCTAGGAAGAACATGTGTCCAGCTGTTTGTTGGTTTTCTTTACAGAAATCCATACTTTGACAAATACCTTGCAAATAGCCTCGTTTCAAGCTGGAAAATGTCAGGCCGGAGTTTCTTTTGAAGCTGAACATTTATTTTCCAGTCACACGTATACTTGGGGGGGGGTGGGGAGGTTTGCGTTGCCAGAGAAGAATTATGTGGCGGTGCGAACTGATTTATACCGAGCAAGGTAAAAACTCAATATTTCTTCGCTGTTTTTTGCTGAAGCCGTACTAAATGAGTCCTTTTTTTTCCTTTTTCCCCACAGGTTTATGCCCCGTCAGCAAGCACTGCCGACTACAATAGGGATTCACCAGGTTATCCATCCTCCAAACCAGCAGCCAGCACTTTCCCCAGCTCCTTCTTCATGCAAGGTAAGGAGGCGCCGCTTTCGACAGGAAAAACCTATTTTGCATACACTGTGTTATGGTTTCTGCTGAGCCGGGCCACCAGCTGTAATATCACCATTAAAATGAGGAGCTGCACGCCTGCCCTTCGCTGTTCTGCCTCTGGACGCCTTGTGGATTAACTCGCCAGCCCCTTCTCGTGTTGCCGATTTGAGGATGGGTTCACGGTTTTCCCAACGTGCAGTGAAATTTGGTGTCACTTAGTAAATAAGATTCCTACGGTTTGGAAATGCCCACTCACCATTAGGATACTCAGATTTTGCTGCATTTAAGGCAAAATCATTAGCTTTTAAACGCTTCTACATATACCCTGCTGTAGGCTGAGGGAAAGCTCTCGGGGTGTATGGATTCATCTGAGGGGAAGCATGGATCACGGCTGAAAAGAAGACGGTGCTCTTGGCTTTAAACACAAATACTGCCCAAAGAGCAACCTGCTGTCAAACTCCTATGGAGTTATAAAGCTGGGGATTAATTGGCTTCTGATGATAGCAACTATTTACCCCTTTGTAGCACGAAGCCGATCTGCCGTTGGAAATGTTATCTCAGTGTGGAAGACATAAACCTGAGCTCGGGGTGGTTGAAGTGTATAAACAAGGGCTGTAGGTGAGACATCACCAGGTTTTATTAGGACAGCTCCTGTAGGTTGAAAACGCCGACGACTTTTTGTCCGGGTCTGCTGATCATTAGGGAAAAGTCCCCTTTTTTTGGGGTGGTTTTTTTGTTGTTAACACACTGGCGTTCGTTTCGCTGCATTGTAATTCCCTTCCAGCCCATCTGGTTCGATGCAGAGTATGAAACCGGTTATTTTACTCTATAAAAAGCCATTTTTAATACTCTCTGGTGCACGTTGTACCTCGGCAGTGTGAAGGGTGGGTGCTGTGTTTAGGAGCTGCGGTAACACAAGCTACGAAATCCCTAAAAGGAAAAACCAGACAAGTCTTGCTGCTTTTTTTTTTAAACAAACAGAAAGCAACAGTGAAACAACTCAGGAAACTTTGTGGGTGTGGAAACGTTCAAAAATCAGGAATTACCTGATTCAAAATTCAATGAAATTTGTTGTAATGGAGTTTATGCGCTTGAGTTTGTGACAGCAGAGCAGGAATAAAGGACGTGTTTCAGTGTAAGTGATGCGGCTGTGACGAAGCATTGCGAGATGACGTTGAATATTCACCATTGCTCAGTCCAGCTTCATTTTCACTCAAGTCCCTGGCTTATAAGGGATGGTTAGCACAGAGTTTGCAGAGGCCCAGAGCCACCAGCGTGTCCCTCGTGTGTTGCAGATGGCCACCACAGCAGCGATCCCTGGAGCTCCTCCAGCGGGATGAACCAGCCCGGCTACGGGGGCATGCTGGGCAACTCCTCCCACATCCCCCAGTCCAGCAGCTACTGCAGCCTGCACCCGCACGACCGCTTGGTAAGGCCTGGGGGTGCAAGGTGGGGGGGCACGGCGTGGGTTTGGACCGAAATGGGGAGGTTTGGGCTGGATATTGGGAAGAAATCCCTCCCTGGGGAGGGTGGTGAGGCCCTGGCCCGGGGTAGGCCCAAGGCCGGGCTGGATGGGGCCTGCAGAGGCCTGGGCCCTTGGTTGAGGCTTTGGTTGTGCCCTCAGCTCCTCCTGTGGCCTTAGTTTATAAATAACTATCCAGCATCAATTTTTGGCTTTAAATAATAAGGGTTTGTTGGGTTTTTTAAAATTTTCTCCGGTACATCCTGATCTCTCGCACAAGAGGAAGTTGCTGGGACCTATTCCATCTATTGTATTGGAATAGGATAAAACTGGAATTAAATCTTGATCCCAGCACAGCTTATGGGATATTCTCCTAATATCACGGCTGAATTGATTGTGTAGAAACAGCACCGCGCTCCTTCAGCTCGGTTTTTCACTAAAGTGAAGTGATTTATGTGTGAAACATCACAAAGTTTCTCTGCTTTTCATTCTTGAAAACAATTAAAAAAGAAGAGTGACGAGGAGTACTGGTTTTAAGGGCAGGAGTAGCCCGTCGCTGTAAACTCCTGCAGAACCCTCTTTTTTGGGAATAAGAGTTCACTTCCCTCTTGCAGACTGAAAATTCATTTGCAAAACAAACCTTTAAAGTCTCCCGTTTACTGAGGTTAGCACATGGCTGCGTCAAATTAATAGGAAGGCAAAAGCACAAGAAATTGCCTCAAAAAAAGGCGTCATTAAGGCACTAAGCAAACTTCACCTTGCTCAGAAGTGACAAGCACCTCTAATAAAAACATCTCATAAAAGCATCGCTTTTAAAACCCCGTTTAATCTAATTTGTTACCTGCCCTGGTGCTCATACATCGGAATTAGGTGCCTTTTGGAGGTACTGCTCAGGGTGGAGGTGAGACAGCAGAGCACCTTTGTGTCTGTTTACCTCAGTTCTGAGCTCTTTGTGTTTGAATTCACCTCAGTTCTGAGCTCTTTGTGTCTCAATTTACCTCAGTTCTGAGCTCTTTGTGTTTGAATTCACCTCAGTTCTGAGCTCTTTGTGGTTAAATTTACCTCAGTTCTGAGCCTTTTGTGTTTAAATTTACCTCAGTTCTGAGCTCTCTGTGTCTCAATTTACCTCAGTTCTGAGCTCTTTGTGTCTCAATTTACCTCAGTTCTGAGCTCTTTGTGTCTCAATTTACCTCAGTTCTGAGCTCTTTGTGTTTGAATTTACCTCAGTTCTGAGCTCTTTTTGTGTTTCAGTTTACCTCAGTTCTGAATTTCTCTCCTATTTTAACGCATAGAGGGGTTTATGGAGATTTAAAATATCTCTGCAATGTTAAATATGTCAGGGATATTCCACCTCAACTCCCCAAAATACTGTTTTTTATGTAGGTATTTCACCTGGCTTTCAGAGATGGTGAGGACCACTGACACCAGTTTGAGTTGAGGGTGTTCAGTGCTGACGAGGCTCATATTTATCATTTATTATATAAAAGAAAAGCTGGTTTTTGTACTTTTTACCTTCTCAGACACATCAGTGATTTTCTAAGTTGATACCACCTGAGAAACCCTGCTCAGCTGGGCCATCGCAGCCCGTTGGGGTTGGGTTATAACCCGTCAAAGCCTGCAGGTGTTACTCACATCTCAGAGCTGACGATCGGTTTTCCATGGATAAAGAAAACAGGATTGGGCTGTGTTGGCGCCATGCTGTGAGATAACTTTAAAGTATTCCGTTTATTTGCACTTAGTTACGAGAAATCCTGAAAAAATAGCACAAATGAGTCAGAGGTTTTCAGCTGGGGCAGTGCTGTGGTGGATGAAAGCTGGCCGTGCTCTAGGCCCTGTCTCCCACAGAGTCTTCAGCAGTGACAGAGGCCGCTAACGTGAGCCAGGTGTGTAGTGACACCAATTTGGGGAAACGCTTGACCCCAGCAGGGCTGTGTCCCAGTAAGGAAGGTTTGTTTAGGTCTGTTGGCGCTTGTCCCACACTTTGTGGGTACCAGTGCGTTTTCTTACGGCTTATCTTGTAGTCAGATCCTGGTTTTAATCTCAAAAGCTTTACGGGGTTTCTACCACTTCCCATAAGCTTCTCCTCCAGCTGAAAGCTGTTCCTGTCGAAAAGGTTTCCTTGGTGCATCACCAGACTTAATTTCTTCTCGTTACATCTCTGCGGTACCATCATCAGCCGTGAACCATCCACTGTGGCTATTCATCCCTACCAGAAGATGTCAAATTAGGGTAGAAAATGTGCTCCCTGCGTCATCCTAGGGCATCATTCTGCTTTTCTAGGTTGGGTGAGGTCCGACAGCACCTGGGCCTGTGGCGAGCTGAGCATCCTGCGCTACTCCGTAGCTAAAATACTGCCCATTTTGTCTCCTCGCAGAGCTACCCATCACACTCCTCCGCAGACATCAACTCCAGTCTTCCTCCGATGTCCACCTTCCACCGCAGCGGCACCAACCATTACAGCGCCTCCTCTTGCACACCCCCTGCCAACGGGACCGACAGCATCATGGGTGAGTCGGGCATGGGGGTTCGCTGACATCTCCTTCAGAATTTCGGATACGAGCACAGCAGACTTGACTTTTGCCTCCTGTGCCCGTGAATTTTACTACTCCTACTCCTTTTTTGTGTGTGAATTAAATGCAGTTACGGCAAAGCGCTTTGCTGCAGAGTTCGTAGGGAAGCCGTTGCGGCAGCCGAGTGCTGATCCCACTGGCTTTGCAGGCCGATTTTATTATCTGGAGTGATTTAATCGCTCGCAGTGCGGTGTGAGGTGATACTTCTGCATCCCCGCACTCAGCCCCTCCAGGTTTTCTGCTGGGTTTCCACATGGGACCGGGGCAGCGGCAATGGCAGCGCGTCCCCGAGAGGGACACATTGCTGAGAGCGGCTCTGGAAATTAAGAGCATACCTCTCTGGGCTTAAATATTTGGCAAATACCCGTTCGTACTTAAATACAGGAAATAAAAGAAAACGGCAAAGAAAGCTAATGAAATAATTGGGAAATGGGGAACACATCTTGGGACACATGTTTCGGATTACGCACGTGATCCTGCACCGAATGACCGCGAGCAGGACTCATGCAGGAAGAATGGAGGGTGGGTTCAAACATTAACACATGGGCGTCGCGTTGTGCAAGGCCTCCGAACAAAGAGGAAACCAAATACGGTCTCTTCTTAATTTGTCACTGTCTGGGAAAGACGGATCCCGTTTCCGGATCGCCTTTCTGCGCTCAATCTTGCCGCTCCATCCGGACTCCTTCCTTTACAACGCGTTGCTGCTGCTGGGAAAATCACTCTTCCTCCCTCAAAAAAGGTCTCACTTAAAGTCGAATTTAATTCAGCACCTAAATTCCCCGTGTAGGAAACACCCAGCTTTTCGTCTGGGTTCATGCGAAGAGCAGCGGTGCAAACACGCAGATGTTTTTAGCAGCTGTAAATGCTCAACAAGTTGGGCTCAAAAGTGTCTCCCGGACCTCGACGCGAGTCGTGTTCTCCTCCTGAGGCCTCAAGTCTGGGCACACACTCATTTTTTCCCCTGATTTTCCCAAGCTGCCGTGGCCATCATGCCCCATCCTTGTCCCCAGCCGTGCCATCCCCACGTAGCAGGGCTGGGACAGATAAATTGCATCATTCCCTGGTGCTCCGCAGCTCTGGAAGGCAGCAGGGAAAAACCCCTTGATGGGGGCTGCAGGACTGTTCATTTGATGCCAGTTTGAATTTTCCAAGGCCTGAAGCAGTGCAGTGCTTAGGTGAGCAGTTACCGAGGGCGCTCGAGGCTCCATCCCGCTCGCTGCCTGCCCTTGCGCTGACACATTGTTCGGGTGACATTAAGCGCTGTGACACACAGCTTTCCCAGGAGCAAACGCGCTGTGCGTTTCCCCTCTGGGCGCTGCTTTCGCAGGGGTTTCGTTACCAGCGCGCCGGCGATGTTACCCGAGCGCTCGGCTCCCGCTTCGAGGAGGGCTTCGAGAGGAACATGACTTGTACCCAGCAATAACACTTCCTCATAACTGGGGAGGATCATCGGCTGCGAGGAGCGAGGTGCTGCAGGTTTTTCCGCTCTTCTCAAGATAGAAACAGAATTTCCAGGCTGCTGTTTCCCAAAGCTCTGCTCTGTGAGAGCAGCAGGAGTTTGGGCTGGGATTTAGGCTCTGGAAAGTCTGGCTGGAATCCTCTGCAGCCTATGGGTGACACGAGATGCTTCGCTCGATAGCGTTCCCCTCGCCGAGATACCCGTTCCTGGAAGTTTATTCAATAATCTGAAGATTTACAGGCAGGATCCCAGCAGAAGGATGTGAAAAGGCTGCACTTCATCATCCTGTCCCGTCGCTTCCCGGCGCAGAATTGTTCTCCGCTGAAACATGCTGAGAAAGTTGGGGGAGATGAAGTGTAACAATAAACACGCTCTTCAGCGCAGCCCGCGCCCATCCATCAACAGGCTGCGTCTTTCACGACGTCTCCAGTGCCTTCAGAGCCTGGCCAGGGGGAAAACAGCTCCCGAGTCGCAGCCGCGGCGTTTTCGAGTCCTGTTTTATGCTCCTGTTCCTGAGGTTTTGTTGCTTGGCTTTTCTCTTCTGCATCACGTCGAGGTTTGCTGATGCTTGGTGTCGCTGGAGAGCTCTGGATGTGGCTGCTCCATTCGATTAAATGCAGAAATATCTTGTGCCCTTGCACGTTTGAGGAGTTCCTTGGCGTTCCTTGTGCCACATCGTTGCGTATTTCACGCTTGAAGACATCTCTCCTTGACCCAAAAGCCGCCTATGCAGTGGTCCTGGCTGCAGCAAAGCCCCTGAGGGTTTTCTTGCGAGGATTATGAAAACCCAGCAAGATTACACGGTGTTTGCCCAGTCGATCCAGTGCTGGGTGCAGTGCCCAGTATGGAGGCGGCTCGAGGTCGTTCTTCTCCGTGAAGCGGCCCAGCTTCCATCATTTCTTCCTCTGCAATAATACCTTTGCTTCCCTGTTACCCAGAGGTGGTTTCGTTTCTTTAAAAGCCTCGGGAGGTGGCTTTGTTGAGAGCCCAAATCCGTTCAGTTCGCTGCGTCTCCTGCACCGACGCGCTCCTCTTGGTTTTGAAGGAATTCGGGTTTACAGGACATTACTTCCTCCAAAAATAAAGGCAGTGCGGGGTGTTTATCCACCCGTCTATTGCTATTTGTCAGGTGTCAAAGCTCTCTGAATTCAGTTTCGCTTCTGAACGTGCCCCTTTCCAGCCCTGCTTTTGCCCATTTCCTCCCTCCTGGACTTCAGCGGAGGTTGGAGCTTGACGCCGCGGCCAGGAGTCGGACGCTGGGGGTCTGAGTTTCCCGAGAGCTCTTAGAGGTGGCATTTGGCTCTTCTTTATTTCGCTTCCCGTTGATTTCTTTTCAAGCCTTCACGTTGCCAATTTCTCTGACTAATCCCTCGTAAAATATCATCTGTCCCGTGGCACGGCGGATGAAAACAATCTGCGTTTCTTCTATTACCCGTCTTTTCCTGCAGTTCCTGCGCTGCATCTCGGTTGTGTGCAGGCCCTACCAACTCTCCATCATTGTCCCTGTTTCTCAGGGCTTGAAAAACCTTTTATTAAAGGCTTTTGAGCCATTAAAGTTGCCCTTTCAGAGCCTTTTTTTCATCTTGCGTTAAACATTCGCCCAGGATCCTCTGTCGTGGTCAGTGCTCGTATCTCAGGTTTCCTTCCAAAGCCGAAGAGAAGTGGCGCAGCACTCGTTGGCTGTGCTGAAAACCTTCGATTTAGGGAGGACTTACATCTGTTCTGCATTTATTTTTGGAGAAGCAGCCAAGGTTTTACCCCTTGGTGAAGAGCGAGGCCTGAGGCCGTGCTGACCCTCGTGTTGTTTTAGGGTTGGTTTTGTCCCGTTGCTCCCCAGATCTTTGGGGTTTTAAGGCTATTTTCCTGTTCTTCCTTCAAACACAGGCTTTTCTCAGTCACCTGCACATCACTCGTGTCCCTTGCATGACCAAAGTGATGGCTAAAGCCACTAATAGCGAGACAGGAAAGCAACCCAAATTCAGCTGTGTTTGAGCAGCCCCAGCTCTTGGTGACATGACCACTTCAGATGATCTCAGTCTCCTTACATTTACCTGGATTTTCCACCCAGAACGTGCCATAATCACCTTTTTTTGCCCATTTTCTCCAAGAAACCCAAACCTGGGCTCGCTGGGAGGAGCCTCAGCCCAAAGCCCTCCTCCCTCTGCCTTTCCTCGGGGATTTGTCGCGTTCCTCTTAAGTCCATTTATACATTTGGTCTTTGCATACCTTAAACCAACGAGTTTCCTTGTCTGACTGGACACCACTTGTAAAAAAACCCCCGGTTTTGCTCTTTTAATGGGCAGCTTTCAGGTTTTATATGGGAAAACACCGGATGCTTGCGTTCCCCGCGTCACGCAGCCCTGCGGCGTTGCTTTTCGGGCATCCCTTTCCCAGCACAGCTCCCTTCCAAGGGACCTTTGCCGGCTGCTGCACATCCCCGAGGCTCTTCCTGTGTGTTTTCCAGCCCTAAGTTGTCTCAGAGTCTTTCAGGAAAAGTTGAATGTTGGATATATCTGAAGAATTCCTTCGGTGTTAGCGGTAACGTAAGCCGTGGGCCGGCTCGCAGGTGGAGCAGGCTTTAATTTTAGGATAAGGCTGCTAGAGTTACTTAGAAAAAGGAAACAACAACGTGTGATTTATATTTATATTCACATCAGAGTGAGGTAACCCGGTTTCTGGACCTCTGCCTGGTGTTAGTCAGGTCGCAAACCTTCAGGTTGTGATTTACAACGCTGGGAAGTCGAAGCTGGAGCTGACGCCGCCTGTTGGACCTGTCCTGGCCTCTCTTGATGTGTCTCTGTCCTGGTGCCCCGTTTCAAACCCGATGAGCTGGCATGGGCAGATGAGAGCCTTTCCAAATACCCAGTGATGGATTTGAACTAAACCATAAAGGAGCTGACAAAGCCTTAGAAGTTTGTCTGACAGCGGGCGCGGGGTCCTTGCGGATGCCAGCAGAAACACTGACCACGGGCAGCAGAAGCTGCTGAGCTATTTAAATAATTCAATTCAAATAAAGGCTATTTAGTTGATGAACGGACATAAGCCATGCTGAAACTGGTGGTTTCGCCCTGATTTCTCTTTGGTTCCTCCAGTAACGGAGAGGTTTGCAATCCTCTCACCTCAGCGTGAGGAACTGGTGGTCATCTACCCCATTTTCATGTGAAATCAGGGTGAATGATGGTGAAATAGGGGTGAATAATGGTGAAAAATGGTGAATAATGGTGAAATGAGGGTGGAAAATGGTGAAATAATGATGAATAATGGTGAATGATGGTGAAATAAGGGTGGAAAATGGTGAATAATGGTGAAAAATGGTGAATAATGGTGGAAAATGGTGAATGATGGTGAAATAAGGGTGAATAATGGTGAAATAAGGGTGAATAATGGTGAAATAAGGGTGAAAAATGGTGAATAAGGGTGAAAAATGCTGAAATAAGGGTGAATAATGGTGAAATAAGGGTGAAAAATTGTGAATAATGGTGAAATAATGGTGATAATGGTGAAATAAGGGTGAATAATGGTGAAATAAAGGTGAAAAATGGTGAATAATAGTGAATAATGGTGAAATAAGGGCGAAAAATCATCTCATTAAATGCTCACACAATGTCCCAGTGAAGCCAGAAAGGACACATTGAAAAAAGACCCCATATATGGGATTTAATAACGTATTTAAAATGCGCGTTGCAAAGCGTGCAGAGGAGGCCCAGGGTGTCCGGGTTCGAGCGGCTTGGCCCATCCCAGAGCACCGATCACCTTGCACTGCATTTTCGCCCTGTTTTCTCCGTATTGCTGCTGTTAGAAGCCTTTCATTTAATAAAAGTGGAGTAAGTGGAGCAGGGGTGGGTGTCTGAGTGCCTGTTTTGACACCTCCTCTCTTTGTTTTGCAGCCAACAGAGGAAGCGGGGCCGCGGGCAGCTCGCAGACTGGGGATGCGCTGGGGAAAGCACTCGCCTCTGTAAGGACACACTTTACTTTGGCATACACGTTTTGCAAGGGCCAACTTAAATCGGACTCGGACGCCTGGAGGTGGCGAAGACGAGCGGCAAACGGGAGAGATCTGGTCTGAGGGGGCACCCGCGGGGGGCTCCCCGCCACCCCAGACACCCAGCAGTGGGTGCAAAGCGGTGCAGAAAAGGCTTTAGGCTGAATTTTGCGGTAGGATAGGGGTGGAAAGAGGGGAAAACCTGCACCTGGGCGCTCAGGCCGTCGCCCGCCGCGTGGCACGGGGCGAGGGAGGTCCGAGCAGGCCCCAGCGGCGGGATGACCTCCGAAAACAGCCTTCCCTGGGGATTTGCCCAGGGGTGTCCTGTTTTCCGTGGCAGTTTGCACCACCGCGGTCGCTGTTAAAGTCAGCAGCTGCCGCCTCTTCCCTGGGGACCCGGGGCACGGCCGTTTCCCGATTGGGAGCAGGGGTGGGGGAGCCGCTGCCGTGCCCCAGCTCCCGCTGCGGTACCGGTTGGCACGGGCTGGCGTTTTAACAGGGACCACGAGAGTTTATTTTCTGGGCAGAGTGGGTTCCTTTGAGTTCTCATGAGAGTTCATTCTTGGTTTTGTTTTTTTTGTCGCATCCGAGAAAAAAAAAAACCAAACCAACCAACCAACCAACCAAACCACCCAAAAAAAAGACGCAGAGTCGGACTGCGGTCTGCCTGAAATACCTGATACAGTACAGAATAATCCACTTTGACGTGGTGCCCTGACAGACGGCACGGGGCAGCGGGCGAGCGGCCGGGCTCTGCTGCTGCGCCGGGGCGGGACGTGCTCCGCTCCCTTCGCTTGATTTTGGCCGGGAAGCCAAAAGCCAAAAGCTTTTTTGGCACCAAAAGCCGCTTGAAGTGACTGACGCTCCCTCGTAGTCTGCGCAACGATCAGTTAATGTGGGTAGTGCCTGTTCCCGTCCACAGGGGTCTGCTGTTCTCGCTTCCTGCCCCTAATACCGTTTTGTCTTTGTGAACATATGAATATTTGAATGAAGAGGCTTTGTAACCTGTCCTGCTTTCGTTTGAAATGAACTGAATGCCTACCGATTCCAGATTTCTTTCTGCATCAGTTTGTGATGGCGCTAGATTAATTCTGTATCATCTTTTAAAGATCTATTCTCCAGATCACACCAACAACAGCTTTTCATCAAATCCTTCAACTCCTGTTGGTTCTCCCCCTTCTCTCTCAGGTATTGTTGTTACAATTCTATTTTACTGAACGTTTCAAGGTGGTTTTTTTGGTAGGAGGTGCCCGAATGTGCTCCTGCGGTAGCGGGTGCGAGGCGTGCGGCTCACAGATGAGGTGTCCTACACCCAGCCGAGAGAAGGGCGTTGCAGCGCTCAGCGGGACCCGTTTCCCAAAAAGCACAGGGTTTCTGTGTCCTTGGTGTGGCTTCAGGCAGTGCCCTCGGCGCTCTTGCAGTGGATGAGGTTTGCCCCGTGCCAAGCGCGTCCCCGTGCCGTGGCCGTGGCCCCAAGCAGGGACACCCAAGTCAGGGGTGGCCATGCCAGGTCCAGCTCCTTGGATACCCCCCCCGTCCCCTCCCGGGGCTGTTTGGTCCCTGAAGTTGTGGCCAAACTGAGGCCTGGTCGATGCCCTTCAGGCTTCGTTTCCAGTAATGGCAGATGTTAACCCAGTTTACTGATAAAGTCCCAAACTGAGAAGATCCAGAGGCCTGGGGTAGCAGGTATTTTAAATATATACCAGAGAATCAGGTGTTTTAAACGTTTATCTGAATCGAACTCAGATTTCTTAAACGTTCAGACTTTTCACCTTGGATTTTAAGCTTCTCCTGTGCAGTAAATGCTTGGAGAAGGCTTCTTGGCTTCCCAGCCCCTCTTTGAGACAGGGTTGTTAACACCAGTAACCAGACCTTGGCCTCTTCATGAGGCCTGGATGCTGGTAACCAGGCATCCCAAAACACTGCCAAGTGTCCGAGGTGGGACCCATCCCTTGTTCTCCATGGGGCAGGAGGAGCAGGATGCTCCTGGGCTCCTCATCCTTTAAAACAGAGCCCCAGGCTCAGGGACGCAGACCCAGCAGCAGCCCCACAGCGACAAGGCCTTTTGGGAAGGACCCCACGGCCACCCCCATCCCGCAGCAAAGGAGCACGTCCAGCCAATGCATGTCCCCACATGGGGACCCCTAGCACAGGGACCTGCCATAGTTTTGGGGTCTTTCACCCCTAAAAAATGATGTTGTGCCTGGGTTCAGCCCAAAAGTGCAGCACCCCCAGCACCGGGGGTTCCTCCTAGAGAGGAAATGGAAAGGACCAAGCCAAACCCCATCAGGATTTGGTATAAACAGGGAGAAGCCGGTGTCAGGAGCGATAGAAATAAGGAGCAGAAGTGCATTTAAAGAAGAGCTGTGGGTGTTTAGCATGTGAGGCGCCTTCCCGCGAGGATACCAAGGGTTTCGGCAGGAAAGATCGCTGCGCATCGCTCCCTTTTCGCTGGAGCAGAACCCCGATTAAAAGCTCCGTGGGGACCAGGCAAGGCAAGATGGAAGTTTTAATTAGAAGTGACATAACTGTAACTTTTACGAGGACACAAAACTTCACTGTCAGAGCCTAAAACCCCAAATTGCCAGCAGATCCAGCCCGGGCCCATCTGAGCCCAAGCGAATGCCCCTAAGCTGAATCCCCTAATGTTTCCATCTCCAGTTCTTAGCCCTGTTTTACGAGATCGTGCAGGAGATGGCCCGTTCAAAAGCGCAGTAGAAACGGCCTCAGCGTTGTGCTGGATAAATATAAAAGCTGTTGGGGAAAATACTTGTAAAAAGCCCTTTTTTCCCCTCTTTCCAAGGGCAGATTTTCCTCACCAACGCTGCCGGAGCCCTTTTCTCCCCCCACATGTAGAGCAGCAGATCCAAACTGGGTTTCTTTGGGTCGCCAAACCCGATAATCCACCCAAAACCAGCGCAGACCTTACCAGCCCCTCGGGCGTCGCGGGCGCTGCTTCTCCTCCTCCTTTCCCATCAGTTTGGACCAGATTTTTGGGAAAGCCGTGGCAGGGCCGAGGAGGACGGGTCGGTGCGCGCAGCACCGAGGCGTTTCCTCCTGCGAGCCCCCCGCAGCCGCATGAACGAACGCAGCCCTGCGTGGGGAGCTCTGTGGCCCGCACCTAACGTGCTCTGCTACGAAATATCCCCCCCTTTTTTTGTTTACCTCCCCCCACCGTGTGTATTTTGGAAGTTCTCCACATGTCTGCTCTATAGTCTGTGAGGAATACGGCATTTACGGGTCTAGGAAACTGTCCGAAAAGTTTGAAAGCCATTTTTGTGTGCAATAGTTCTAACGGTAACTCCGATTTTGCTATTAGCAGGCACAGCTGTTTGGTCTAGAAATGGAGGTCAAGCGTCATCATCTCCCAATTATGAAGGTCCCTTACACTCTTTGGTATGTTTTGATCGGTGACCTCCTCTGCCTCCGTATTTTACTTGCTGTTCTTTCCATTGCTCATCCATTCTCCTCACGCAGGTTTTCATTTCGTTAGCGACCGCTCCGCCCCCCGGCCTCGCTTTCACCACCTCTCGCTCCCCACCACGGGCGCTCTGAGGCGCCTCCCGGTTGAGTTTTACCCAGGAAGGGGCGCGAGGAGCCGCCAGGAGAGGGGAGGGCGAGCGGGCACATTGGAAAGGAGAGGGAGCAGGAGGCTGTGGCCGCGGGCCTGGTCACCA